TGAAGCAATGTCCTCCACAACTAGACTGAAGAACAAAACAACAGCAACTTGTCTGTTCCCCTTCCCCCGATTCCCCAGCACTGTTCCCCTCCCCCAACTCCCCAATAAAATCTTTAAAAAAAAAAGAAAAAGAAATTACTTTCACAGTGATGACTTACCTTCATACTAACTTCTTAAAAATCATGCCTACATATTTTAAACATTACACAGGTGATTTTGTTTGGTACCCCTAGTTATGAACCATTATATTAAAAATTGTATAATAGCTGAAAGAGCCCATTTATAATAGCAACTGAAAATATAAAATGCCTCAAGGGGAAAACCCAATAATCTGTATATGGAACAAATATGAAGAAAACCTTAAAACTATAACTTAAAGACATGAAAGGAAATGGATAGGCATATCGTGTTCATTGATGAATTATAAAACTTATTTTCTCAAAGTTAACCTATAAATATAATACCATCTCAGCTAAAATATAAAATATTTTTTAGCATTTAACAAACTGATTTTAAAGTTCATCTGGGAGAAAAAAATCATAAGAAAATGTTGATGAAGAATAATAATGAAATGAGACTTATTTTGCCAAATATTAAAATATACTGTTACAGTATTTAAAATGGTATGGTACTAGATACAAGAATAGAAAAGACAGTGGAAAAGTGTAGAAACCTAAAAATATCTGTGTTTGTATGTGCATGTGTGGAGATTGTCATTTCAAGCACTAGTGTTTCAGATGTGACCAGAAAAATGGATTGATCCATGCTGGTAATTATATCACAGGGCAGTAAATAATTTCCAGTTATGCCTCACTGACTAGTTTCCTTCATAGTTTGGCCTCTCACCACCTTACTACCTTCTCCTACCCCCAAAGGCTCTCTGTTTGCCCTCTTCCTGAGCCCTCCAAAAAAACCTTCATCTTGCTCTCAGGACAGCTCCCCGATTCTTATTGCTTTATTATGCAATCGATTTAGCTCTCTCCTTTGCTAACTCCTTTCTCATCTATGTTGAATAGTACTTATCCTCACATTTCACAATTAAAAAGGAAAGTGCATAAACAAAACTAATTTTGTCTCTGTGAGGTGTATTCATTGGTTGATTTGGCCCTCTTATAGCAACCAACCAGCTTAATCTGCAGCCAGCTTTAAAAAATAGTGTTTTTTCTCCCCACAATGCAAAGAAATGAAAAATATTCAGCCTCTCTAGTAATCAAGGAAATGCAAATTAAAGTACTCATGAATGACTTTTTTTCCTACTATCTGATTGGCAAAAAATTTTTTTAGTCATTCTAGTGGAGGCAAGATAGAGGAAAGGACACCTTTGGTAGTGGCAGCATAAATTGTTAAAATTTTTCCAGTAGTGTGTGTATCAAAAGTGTTATTGTATATGCCTCTTGACCTAACAACTCCAGTTGTAGGACTTTTACTGTAGCAGATGACCAGGATCCTTCACAAAGATGCATGATCATGTTCATCCGGGCTTTATTTCTGATGGTGGAAAATGAGCACTGCTATGCTTCAGAGTAGAGTAGGGCATCATAAAAATTATTTTGGAGAAGAATCCTATTTGACATTGGAAAATGTTTATTAGCTGTGAAATAGAAACTAGGTAAAATTTGTAAAGCCTTGTATAAACATGAAAGTATTTTCATTTACATAAAAACACACCAAGATTTAAATAATATAATCAACTATTAATTAAATATTTACTGTGTGTTCAGTCTTCTGCTGTATATTGGGGGGAGAGGTATGTTGAAAGTATAAAATATACTTGTTCTTTAGGACTTTACCCTATTGTTGAACTGTTGAGCTTGAATATGAGCATTTGGTCCTTGCACACTCGGTAAGTATACCTCTAGATAATAGGAAAAGCACTGAACATAGGCAAGGATTTGAATCCTGTCCTTGTCACATACTTGTCTACTCACTTAGACAAATTATTTGAGAATGAGGATACTGACTTCATGGGTCATTTGCAAGAATGAAGGGAGATATAAGCAGAAGTGCTACCCATGATGCTTGGTGAATAGTGATATTAGTAAAGATTATTAATTATTCTTATAACTAGTAATTATTAATAATAGTGATGATTAGTTAGTTCCTTTACTTTCCCTTCTAGAAATTTCTGTTTCCTCAGTATAGTGCTTACAGCAAATATATTGGAACCTGAGCTACTGAATAAATAAATGAATGAGATACTGGATTTGAAAACACTTTATAAGCCTTAAAGCATTATAACAACATTAGCTAACTATTAATATTTGAATAATTTCATTAATATTTGTAATGATCTGGCAAAAGTTTCATGTTTACACATATATATGTTTGTAAGTGCTAAATATTATGATATGGGTTACATGGGATTTTTGTAGAAATTAAGCAAAAGAAGGGCTTGTTTTAAGTAAAAAAGAAGGGCTTATTGTGGCTGATAATCATTTAGGGTGCTCTTGGGGGAAGGTGGGATTAGAATGGAACCTTGAATTAAGGTTTTGAATATGAGAAGCAGTGTATGCAGAATCATGTGGCCAGAAAAGGAAAGAAAGAAAATGGAATATTCAAGAATAGTAATAAGACTAATGTGCTTAGAGAGTGAAGTATTCTTGAAAAGTCATTAGAACAGGATAGGTAGAAGTGACAAGGTGTGGCCAAGACAACAAGAGAACTTACTGATCTGGTGAGAAATAGACAACCATTTTAAGTTTAGGGGCAAGACAGTGACACTGTGTCGTCAACACATCACTCTGTTAGAATATGTTTATCGCAGCTAACTTTGGTAATAAAACTGTAAACAAAAATTAATTATGGATTAGCTAATTATTTTTTCCCTTCCACAGTGTATAGCTTGAATTCCCATTTAGTGGTGACAACTACAGCTATATGTTTTAGAATCCTTGTTGTATTCTTAAAATAGCACATGACATGACTGACTAGATATGGGTAATTTCAGAATTTCAGACTCAAAAGTATGACCATAGTCCCCCAGCATTGCCCTTTTTTGAGACTTCTTGTTGTAAAAACTTAAAGAAAATTTATAGTCAATCTTCCATACCTTATGCTTTTTTTTTCATGTCTTATGTTATTTGATGCTACCATTTGCTTGTTCTTCCTGTTTCTTTCCCTGTAGATTTTCAGTGTTAAGATAATTATAATGTCCTTTATAATTTATGTCTATTTTTCATTGAAAGATAAGAGATTCAACTAATTTATCATAATCATTAGCTGTAAGTCAACTAATAACTTAGTTATAATATATTCACTTTCAATGTTTTCTTCCTGGAACTTCCTCTTTTCTTACATTCTTTTTCACATTTCTCAACAGTATGGATGGAGCGGATCTGTGTTTTGAAATCGTAAAACGAGCTGATGCTGGTTTTGTATACAGTGAAGCTGTAGCCAGGTATGTAATTTGTGTCAACTCCCCAGAGGTCAAGCTTCAAGTTCAGGAAGGAAGTGACCCCAAAAAAACCACATGCAGTGGCCTGTTTTTTGAACTGATGATGAGCAAACTGCCAACCTCCTACAGGAAGCATATATGTTTTAGTGTGCATTAGTGGAACCAAATAGTGACTGGAAATGCAAAATACAGAACATTGAATGTATCTATTAATATGAGTTTACAGTTTCACATCAGTACTGCTGTCTTCCCCATTTCTGATGACTTCTATACAAGGAATGATTTGATAGCTCAGGAACCATGTAGAATTAAACTTGGGCTTTTTGTTTGTGTCTTTGATTTTTGGTTTTTGACAGATAAGTCTCATTAGTTCTTCATTTTGTCTTTTAATGATGGCAAATTGTTATGTGACCAGTTAGTCTAAGGAAAAGCACAGAACAGTAGAAAGAACAGAAATAAAAGCAGTTTTTCTGCTGAATATATTTGCTTCAGCCTTTGTGTGATCTCCCAGTCAAATAACAGCCATTGTTCTAAGTGGAAGAGTTGTTGTAAAGAGCTAATGGCTCAAAATAAGGAGAAAATATGAAAAATCACAGGAGCCATGCACTGGGCCACTTGTTTATAGATTTAGAGCAGTACAGCTTTCTGCTTTGGTGACAATCATATCATAGATATCCACTCCAATGGGTTGCCTTTTTAATACATGGGATACATACATTAATGGGGTATAGCATATCCCCTCAGTCTATAATATGTTGAAGGGTTCAAACCCACAAACCCATTAGGATTTATTAAAACTCTCTACCATTTAAGAAACAGTTATCATGAAATGATTTAACTTCTTCCCTCCCATCATTCATTTTATAATTATGGCATTATGGACAGATATAGCTGGAAACAGCATAGAAGAGTACCTAATACAACTTTGAGCTCAGAGTGGCTTGACTTTCTTCAAATTCATTGCTCTGCCTCCTCCTACCCGAGGAGCAAGGACTGCAGTCCCAGGAGAGCAAGCAGCCATAGCGACAGCACAAGATAAAAAATATACTCAATTTCAAGTAGCTGCTGTTTTGTACTACTGGAGCTAGGGAGAAGAAGCAAGTGAAAGTTTATATATATTAACTCTAATTACCTCAACCTCCTGATGTATTCATGTTAGAACCGTGCTACGCTTGTTGAAGCACATTCTAGGGTTTTTTAATTCCATTTTCCTATTGTTTTGATTCCTTATCATTTAAATTTTTTATTCTTTATTGTGCTTCAGAATTAAAAAGCATTCTTTGATACCAAAAATAGTCAATGCCATTGTGATTTTTCTTATGGCAATAGTGGTAAACCACTTTATGCTACTACATGAAATTCACAAACTTTTGCATATTTGTTGTTTATATTTTTTTCTTTCAACAGCAGCATCAAATAGGGAAAACTAAAAACTCTGAATATTGATTTTATAAAGTACTGAAGTTTGGTGGAGGAAGATGGCTTTTTCCTTTTTGAACCACAATAACACTGGGATACCTGGCATATATGCTGGCAGAGTTGATGTTGAACCAGTACCACTTTTACTGTGTTCCCACTCATCCATATTGCTTTTCCTTGACTTCAAGCCTGTCTCTGCCGCTGGGCTGGGTATCAGGATAGGGAGGATAGTAGAGTGTAGTGGTGATGCCATACAGTGAAATGACTTGGGGTCTCTCCAAATCTCGAGTTTTACAGACAAGGTATACGTTTATGTAAATCAAGGTGAAAGCCTATTGATTTTAACGTCCACCTATATTTTCTGTTAAAATGGTGATTTTATAAAAGGAACTTTCCAGAATGGACCAGAAAAGAGTGGCATTGGGTCCATTAAGTGACACTGTAAAAAGTGGGGTTTGGCACAATTTATTAATGACCCTTCCTAAAAATGACCTAAAAGGGGTTCCTCAAAAAGTGTTATGAGGTGTGTTCCTGATTGCAGAGGGTCAGTGACCATGTAACAGGGGCACATAGAGCCTTCCTTTTGGTTAGAGTTCAACCAGATGACTTCTAACCTTCCTTCCTCCTCTCCGATTCTGCGATTCACGGTGGGGAAATTCAGCTTACATCAGTATTCTAATGGCATCAACTGCAAGAACACTCTGAGACACCAAGTAATCAAATTGATAATGTTGTTTTTCTCCAACTGGCTGAGCGTCAAGAGGAGCAGCAAAGCATGGCTAAAACAAAACTGCGTTCAGTCCTTACAACCCAATTAGCGATTACCTCTGTTCTTTCAAGGGTGATGAGTTGTGGAGTGAGCTAACATACAGGATCAAATTATCAAATCAAAGTCTCACAAATCAGAGAGATCTTCTTACCTAGAACCAAGCTTTACTAAATAATTACAAGAATACAGGCACTCAAAAGGCTCAGCTGAAGCAGAAAGCGGTGTGGGCTTCAAGGGCATCTTGCCGCGTCATTCCTTCCCGTATCAGAAATGCACCTCTGGCCCAGAATAGGTGACGTCTCTAGATGAGGTTTGTGGAATCACACACACAGAGGGGAGCATTTCAGTTATGAAACCTCTTCATTGTATACCCAGCGAGTTGTACAGCTTATATGACATCCTCCGCAAGCCTCAAAGATCCTGGGTTCTATTTATCACAGGTAATCCTTAGCCAGGAACATTCTTTTAAGGGCATTTCAGAGATAAGGTCTCTTTTGCCTAGCAAAGAGCATTAATCTTTTTACCCAGACTTGACAAGGAGAGTATACTGAGTCACCTCCCTTCTCTTCTTCCACCACCCCACGACCCCTGAAATGCCTCCTTACAAAGGAAGTGAGTGGACTGTTTACCAGCTCTTTCCTTCCACAGAGTTCTCATCATTCCTGATCCTTGGGGAAGATGGAGACAAAAATGTATTGCTTAGTTCCTCTGAAAGTATAGACCACCTTGGTGCTTCATGAAATGGAGCTCTCTGGTTAAAGTTTAGTCAGAAACTCTGTAGAACCTCTGGATGGATTTCGGTCCTCTCATTATTCTGCTTGTTTGCACACTGTTCACATGCATAGCCTCCAAGGGTCATGACTGGGAGGGTGGAGAAAGATCAGTTTAAATTTGCTATATCTGGGGAGGAAACAATTCTACCCCCCCACACATACACACACACACATACACACCCACCCCAGAAATTCTGATATATATGAATATTTGGATCAAATAATTGAATACTCTGATATTCATATTTTAAAATGCTTATTCAGTGAGTGTTTTTGTGAGGCTTTGAGATATGAGATATATCTCAAAGATATAAGTGGCTGTCTTAGTACCATGTATCCAAAGTGGTTCATACTGTAGATGTAAGTTGTGTCTACATTACCTAGTTTAAACTTACCCACTACAGTGTTCAAATCTAGGTGCACACATAGATTGTTCCTAAATCTTTGACTAAGTGTAACAATAATAATAACATTGTAATAATAATGATTTAACTTTTGTAGCATGGTTTAGAATGTACAAAGCACTTTCACATTTGTTGTCTCTGCCATTTCAGGGGATGACAGATCCTCCAAAGCCTGATTTGAACCAGGAAAGGGCCACGCCACCAAGTTAACCCCTAACTCAAACAGAAACTTAATTACAGGCTGCAGTGGCCCACTGTGACCACAACCCCTTCTTTATGCCTTTGCGAAGTAAGAAAAATGGAACGTCTAAGGTCTGCATGAGCCTAGCTCTCTGTTTAGAGCCCAGATGTGAGGAGACAATAAGTACAGGAACAAAGTCTGAATTGGTTGGTTGGTTGGTTTCCCTACCTTTTAGAAATGGAAACTTGTGGTCAATAGTAATACATGAAATAATGTACATGCTAATTAGAGGGACATTCATACTGAGTTTGGTTAGATAGTAGCATACCAAAGAGGGAATTTGATGGAAATGTCTTTTAATTGTAAAGCATGAATTGGGGAAATTTTTTTTCTTTTGTCTTGAGTTGCAAGCACAAGCACAAGGTCATTTATAGGTACTATTAAATGATTTTGTTTTTATTTTAAAGTGTGGGGCACATAATATCTGGAAAGTAAACAAAATTCAATAAATACTATGCAATAAATAATGTTGAGTGTATTGCATTTCTGTGCCATGGCTGCTTGGGGAAGGAAACAGAAAATTAGAAAGGAAGAGGGATAATAGGAAAAAAGAGAAAGATGTGAAGGCAGTAAAATGCAGAGGAGGAGAAGATGAAAAAGTCACTCAGAAATAGCAGGACTACAGAAGAACTTTAGAATTGAGGGAAGGAAGTCAAAGTCCTGAAGGAATACTAAATAAACTACTCTTGTCACATCCTGGTGCTAGCGGACCCACTTTTTAAAAACTATTCTAAAGAATGCTTCCTTTTCCTGGACCCAGTGGGAAGCCTCAGCGGACCCTTGCCAGCCATGTGAGGAGTCTGACTTCCTAGGACTTAGGCCCAGTACAAACTATGCTTTGTTCATAGATGCCCCAACTAAAACTTGATTATGTTGCAAAAAAGAAACTGTAGGCAGAAGGGGCTTCTCCCCTCTCGTTCCTCCTTAGAGCTAAATGGACATAAGGCAGAGAGCCAGCCTCTGCTGGCAGATAAAAGGCTACTCAGAAGCGGTGGTGTACCTCTGAGCACTGTTCACTTAATAGCAATCCAGTGTAACTAAGTGGTATTAACTGAGTGTCAGAGAATTGGGGGTGTTTTTTTTCATGTTTTAAGCTTGAATGTTTAGTTTGCAGAGCTATTTTTCTTATAAACTGTGTGAAATTCTTTTGACTTAGATATCTTAGAAAGATTTCTTCATGAAGCTCATGAACATATGCGTCTGCCAACTTTTCATTCTTAAGCCTCACCTTCCACCAGTCTTGTCTACTCAAATGAATAGTGTCCATGGGCAGTGAATATGAAGGTGGGAGTTACAAACTAGCAATTACGTACAAACTAGTTATTATATACAACTGTATATTAAGTTTGAAAAGTAAAAGGTTTTTTACAGCTTTAGATTTTTGTTTTTCTACAGTCATTACATGAGACAGATACTGGAAGCTCTACGCTATTGTCATGATAATAACATAATTCACAGGGATGTGAAGGTAAGCCATTTTTATCACTAACTTTAACAGTTGAAACTGACTTATGATATTAATCAGAAATTTTTCTTTAATCTTAGGGAGAGCATCTTAAATTTTACTCACAAATAAAATTTTATATAACTGCTTTATATTTGGGGAGTCACTGTACTAATTCTTAAAACAACACTTTTATAATTTCAGTTTCTTTATTTTTATTAAAATATACATGCATTCTAAAATTCTGTTGTTCTTCTTTTGCCAGTATGCGTGAGAGAAAGCAAAGTCCAACAAATAGGAAAAACCAAATAATATCCTATGCTAAGTTAATTGGGGGGGTGAGAATTTGATTTATATAGTAAAAGTTCATCATACATATATTTTTGTAATGTTACAATGTAGAATAGTCTTTTATTATTTTTGCAAATCGTTTTTATTAAAAATAGTCTGAAATCATAATATAGGTGTAATACAGTTTATACCCTTAGGAATAGGAATATCACCATTATTCAGTCTTCCTGTTTGATCCCAGTATCAAGTCCATAAGAACTGTCAGTCCCTGACTCCTAACAGTGTCAGGCAGAACATGGAGACATGCAAGAAAAGAAACCAGAGGTCTTCTTGCTGATCCCCAGCCCCTTCCAAGGCCTCGAATCACTAAGAGCCCCTGAGGTCTCTCTGGCCCTGTTGTCCACTTTTGGCATGCTAATATTTTGTCACTGGCCTCTTTCTCTAACCTACAGCTTCCACAGACATGGTGCTCTCCTTCCCTCAAGACATATTATCAAAAGCCTGGCTTTTTCGATGTATTTTAATGGTTAAGAAAATCAAGTAGAGTTTAGTTAAATTCTCTCTATGTTTGGGAAATTTTAACTGAAATTTTTATGGTTAAAGCTGAGGAAAAGCACGAGCAATTCCAAGACAATCTAGTGACAAGTGATAATAGCAAATGAAAAATCCAATGAAAAACATCCAATGAGAAATGTACAAAATACACATTAGTGTAAAATTAGTTGTAAAATATCTTATTCATGCTTTTCAAATGTGTTGATAGGAAAATGACACTGTCATTATCAACAGTCAACACTGAACAACCCAATGGATACATAGCACTTTTATTTAAATAGTATTCTTCAGTTATGCAAACAAAGAGAATAAGACATGTAGAAAGATAAAAGGGGGGAATTGCTAATGATAGTTGCATGCTATGTTATTCTTTTGCATTTAACTAATATAAGAAATTGCATACGGACAAAGTAAAATATATCTCCTTGTATGTATTATAAACTGTATACAAGACAAAAATGACCATTTGAAAACTTAAAATGGGTAAAACAGAGTCTTAGTTCATGTAATAGCATTGTGTTGAAAACGCCTTTGCTCAAGATGCAATTTTATTTTGAATTCTGTTCTTGAAAGCTAATTATATCAATATCATATAATAAATAATGATTGACAACATATTCTATTGTAATTCTTTCAACAATATAGTCAGCTTTTGAATAGCTATACTGTTTGATATAATGACAATCCAAAACCAAATAAAATCCCAAAGTAGCTATGTTTGACTTCACTTTCTCATATATCTTCTGATTTATTCAAATATTTGAGTGCCTGCTTCATGCAGAATACTGTGCTTGGAGCCCTAAAGCTATTATGGTCTCAGTAGGGAGATATGAGGCAGTGTATCTATTACCTACTGCTTTGGATCAACAAACACCAAAATTTAGTAACTTCAAACGACAACCACCATTTATTTGCTCACAATTATGCAGTTTGGGCAGAGCTTGATGGGGCCTGCTCAATTCTGTCTCACAGGCTGTTGGCTGAGGCAACATGGCTAGTATCCACGAAGGCTCCACTCATTTTTCTGGTATCTTAGCTGAAGTGACTAGAACAGCTGGGAGCTAGCTGGGGCCTTTTCATAGTCTTTCAGTCATGGTGTGTGTGTATTTGTGTGTGTGTGTGTGTGTCTATTTCTATCTCTATCTCTATCTCTCCTCTCTCTCTATCTCTATCTCATCTCCCCCTCTCTGCCTGCCTCTCTCCCCATTTCCTCCTCCTCCCTCTCCCCCCTCCTCCTCCTCTCTTTCCCTCCCTCTGTCTTTCTCCCTATCTCAAGCCCTTTCTCTCTCCTTATCTTTCTCTCACTGTTTCCACCTCTGCCTGTCTCCGTCCTGTCTCTTGTCTCTCTCTCTCTCTCCAAAAGAGCAAAAATGAAAGTTGCCAGGTCTCTTGAAGCCTAGGCTTGGATTGGCACTGTGTCCTTTGCATTCTGTTAGTCAAAAGGCTAGCCTAGACTCAAAAGGAGAAAAAATAGATTGCACCTTTTGGTTACAGGAGCAGCATATGTGCACAAGGATGGTAAAACTTGTTTGTGGCCACCCTCACAGACAGGCAAAACGAATAATTATTGTCTAAAGTGAAAGGTGGGAAATGTCATTAAAAAACAAAATCAGGGAAACTTCATGGAGGAGGCCACGTTTGAGCCTGTTCTCAAGTCATGTGGGAGTTACATGGAGACAAGAGGACATTTCAAGCAAAAGTAAGGGTGTGTGCAAAGGCTCAAGATCAGTTTTGCATTGGATTTTATTCAACTAGCTTATTATCTCTAAGGCACATGCCAAATAATTTTGAGGAAACACCTAGAAACATGCTAAGGAAGGGAAGAGAGAAGTAATTCTCAAACTACAAATTAATACAGGGAAACCATTAGAAAAGGCATTATTGTTCACTTGGCAAGTGGACTCAACACACAGCACACATTAATGAGATTCTTTATATTTTGGTACCTGAAATTTATACTTTTTGCATGGGTAAGTGGAATACTCACATATAGCCACTTGGTAATTTTTAATTTAGGTGTATTTTTCTTAAGACATTCATGCAAAAAATATGTATTTGTTACCGCCCTTGGCTTTTCATCTTCTTGAAGGAAAGAATTCAATGAAGACACAGAATTTTGTGCAGTATGAACAGCAGGAGTTTGTTAGTAAAAGAAAGTACACTCCCAGACTTGGAAGCCGGCTGACCCAAGAGAGGGAAGCAGCCCTGCCTTACACTGTGTGAAGGCTTTCATTTCTCTGGGTAGAATTGCCTCCCCATCTCGCTTCTCTTATCTCTCTCTCCCTGAGGTACCTGGTCCTCTGGCATTTTGCAATGCATTTCTTTGATTTGGGGGCATGAGTAAACATATCCTTTGGATTCAGAAGCTGGATCATTTGCTTAATTTGGGGGAATATGTAAAAACATCCATTAGAGGGTCTGTGAAAAACCTGGAATCCTGTTGGGCTAGTGAGATATTGGTGACAAACAGGATGGATTTCCCCCTTCTCTGACTTTAACAACACATCTCTTTGATTTAGAGGTATGTGTAAGCCAGGAGTCCTGCTGGCAGCTGGCAGGGGTCTTGACCCAAGTAGGAGCTGCAGCAAGTGACTTTCTAATTGGGGCTCAATTTCTCCTTCTGCTCATTTCTATCTACCTACCTACCATACCATATTGACTGCCTACTGTGTGTCAGACACTATTCTAGGAACCGGAGCTGCATCAATGAACAAAACAGACAAAATCACTGCCCCCATGAGCTGACTTATGTAGTTCAGGGAGACCGACACTAATCAATGAGCATAAATAAATCAACTATATAGTAGGTTAGAGGGTAAAAAGGACTACAGAAAAAAATAGAGTGGCCAAAGGAATGGGGACTGCAAGAGAAGGGGTTGCACTTTTAAATAGGGTGATCAAAGCCACATTGAGAAGATGATATCTGAGTAAGAACTTAAAGGAGAAGAGAGAATGGGTTAACTGATACGGAAGGAAGAGTGTTCTGGCTAAAAGGAACAGCCAGTGCGGAAGTACTAAGGCAGGAACATACCTGGCCTGTGAGGTTAGGGACGCCAGCCCCACCCACGCACCCCCAGCACAGTCAGTCAAAAATCCTAGTATAACTTGACTCTACAGTCAGCCCTTCACATCAGAGAATTCAATCAATCATGGATTAAAAACAGTATTTTCAATCTGCAGTTGGGAAACTCCAGTTGGGAATGTGAAAATACTGTTTTCAATCCGTAGTTGGTTGAATCTGCGGGTGCAAAACCTGTGGGTATGGAAGGGCTGACCGTATTTATTGAAAAAATTTTGCATGTAAGTGGACCCACACAGTTCAAGTACGTGTTGTTCAAAGGTCAAGTGTGCATTGCTTTGTTGGTAATACATTGAATAGGGGCTCAAGGGCAGAAGCAGGAAAACAGGAGACGGCCCAGAGTGGTAGCAATGGAGGTGGCAAAAAAGTAGATTCTGGATATATTTTAAAGGTTGTGTCAACAGGATTTGCTAATATAATTTTAGTAACTTAGTTAACCCAAAGTAGTTTTATTCAGGATCTTGTTATAGGGGTTTTCCAATGTAGTGGTCATTATAAAACTTTAATAACAATACATTTCACATGGCTAATAATTTAAAGGTTCACTTGATGTGTTGTTAATATGTCTGCTGCAGTCAATGACTTGAATGTATGTAGATTTTGGTTTCTGTAGTTAAAGTATTTTTGTCAAAGTTTTCTTCCCTTATACTTAGTACAGAAGATAGAAGAGCATTACAATGTTTCATTCCTTTTACAAGAAAAGTAGATTATTTGATTACCTATTCCATCTAGCCAAGAATATTCGCATATTCTCTCCCTCCCTCCTCTCTCTCTCCCTCTCCCTCCCTCCCCTACTCTCTCTCATAATTCTTGGCATTGATCCAAAAGCATTAGGTTTCCCAAAGGTCCTAGCATTGTATTGATTAATCATACTTTTTCTTTATTTAGTAGGCATTTCTTTTTGAAATCATCATAATTGAGTCTAAAATTTTTTTGTTATATCAAGTTAGATTTGAGTATATGATGCCACATGACCTGTAATGGAACGGCTTGCTTTGAAGAAGCAGTTTCACATGAAATTAAAAAAAAATAAAATAGTAATTATATAATCCTTTGAAATTTGGGGAAGTGTGTTATCATAGTACAGGGTCTTCTTACA